TGGTCACACGCTTGGCATGAATGGCCAAGGTTAGTGTCCTCAAACAGACCAATTGGATATACCACCTGAAATGTTAATAAGAACAACAACAAAACCTGACTTATTTATTTAATAATACAAAAATGAATTAGTGTGAATTAAGAATTAAATTGTAGTCAAACTAACCATTTCAACTGTCATTATTATATTAGTCATTGGCTGAACCAAATTATTCCAATGACCACTTAGTATTCTACATTACATTATGTGTAGTAGTATAATGTGCAAATAAACTTGAGAAGATTGGGGTGCACCTACTACGTGAGAAACTTCATTGTTCCGGAGAATTTATCTTTTTTCTCTAGACATATTGTTTCTGAAATACACACCTAAATATTGAGCACAAACCATTTTTTTCCCAGTAGCAAGCGAATATACATAAAAATTTTGAAGGTATTTGTTTTATCAAAAGTGTGCATATTTATTATAGGGAATCTCAACCGCTTGAAATTAAACTGCAAGAATAGTATGCCTTGAAGATAAAGGCAGCAACCTATATTAGAAATCTTCCCGACATTCAACGGAGAAGTAAAAAACTATTATGTAGAATGAATGTTCATTCCAAGGTGAAGTAAAAGAGTGTGGATAGATAAAAAGAAACTTTACTTTTAAAAAGTACGAGGTGTCAAGAGACATTTTTGGTAAATTTAATATAGGCGCGAGCATCAGGCCGAGCTATGGAGGATGCCTCTCCCTCAGGACTACTAGTAGCTTTGGTTGTTTAATCTCTTGGACAAAAAGATCTAAAGCACAAAAAATTTGGAAACAATCACAAATTTTGCAAAGAACCATCTGGAATGCTAAATATTCATAACTTAAAATGCTTAATTTAGCATAAGACATCACATTTTCAAAATGAAGATTGATGACAGTCTATTTCAAAATACCAATCTATTCTTTTTCTGTTTCGTTTCACAGCAGGAAAAGTTAATAGCATATCATTTTTGTTTCAATATACAATCTGTAATTCATACAATTTTATCTACAAATCTGATAATGGATTTATATTACTAATTACTTAGTCTTTTTGGCACCAAATGTGTATTGATCTGTAGGAATTCAGAAATTAAAACATGTCAGACAAGCCGGAACTGTGAGTGATACTAAACAATCAAGATACAAACTTGAGCCATATTGACAAACAATAGAGGCCACATGTAGCTTTTTTAATTGTGTCTAACTATCGTTGAGTTACTTAGATGAATAGATGCAACATTTAACTTCTTTGTACAATACTTAGTGCCACTTTGCACATAGAAAACACTAAAGCATCACGACAAACTATAATATACAGTAATAAAGATATCTAACCAATCAAAAAATTAATATCTTATTCCATCCTATAAACCAACTTAACCATAACCTTAACTGAAAATTACGGGCTAACAAATTAAAGTCATAACTCATAAATAACATCAACAAACAATTTTCTATATAGTTAATTGAATAATTGATTAGAGATGATCGAACTTGAAAGAGTTGATGGAAGGAAAAAGAGAAAAAATTACATAAGAGAAAGAGAAGATTACCCCAATTCAAGCTCAAATCCTTGCTATACATTAACAGCCCTACTAGTAGGGTGGGGCTCTACATTGTCTTTGGGACACTGCACTTTTCAGGGACGATATCTCTGAGCGAGGGTGGTGAATGGAAGAAGACGAAACGAGTACATCATATGGAATCTTCATTCTTGTGTGAAGAAGCTATGATGATCGCTCTATGTTTGTGAAGCAAACAAGTGTCTGAAACTGGAGTCAAAAGAAAATGGAATGTATACATGTCTTGAAAATAGGTTTTTCTTATCGTGATGCAGTACAAGAACGTAGACCAGATTACTTGAAGAACATATAGAACGTTATAAACTGGAAGAATGCAAGTGAGGTTTACGAAAATGAGTGCCCCTCACCATTTCCCTCAGGCAGAACTTGATCATACATTCATCAAAGTGCTAGAAAATAAGGACAATTGAACCTTTTGGGTGTTGTTGATTTGATGGTTTTGTTCTATGTAATGCAGTAACCGAAGAGATTATTCTGGAATTTAGCATGTGGTATTGTGTGATCTTGTTCCCTAGATATATTGCAGTTCGTTATGCAAGATTTCTGTTTATTTTGTATTGTATGGTATAAATGCTCCATAACGTATACAGAGTATATGAATAAAATAAGAGGCCCTGTTTGGTCACCTTATTTTACTTATCTACAAGAAGTCACCAGATATGCTGAGATCAACTTGACCAAACACTTTTCTTTCAGAAAGAATAGCTGATTCAATAAGTTCTATGAAAAACGGGATCTAGGTAAACTTAAAAGCTATGTAGCAACGGGATTGTGGAAACGCAGAAAGGGATAGGGGATTTGACAAAGCAAAAAAATATTACTCCTTGTATCTCGTGTATATTCAAAATGCAAAACAAACCAGGAATAAAACCTAAATTGCAAAGAGTGAACAAGTTAGAGAAGATACACTAACCTTGAGTTGTTCCATAGTGGATGAAGACGTTGCCACGAAGTGGCAGATAGGTGCCACCTGATGACGATAGTTGAAGACGAGGCCGACCTTTCCTTTGGCAGTGCGACCTTAGCAGTCGCCGTTTGTTCCTTTTAGCAGATGTCGGTTTCTTCATTTAGGCCAGTTTCTTCCTTTGGAATGATTGGCAGGCGCCGGCAGCCTCACTTGCCGTAGGTTCCTACCGTTTCGTCTCTGGCCTGTTTCTTTCGTTAAAGAGAATGAGAAGGGCGTATGATTTGGGGAAGGAAGGGCCTATTTGCAATATTGACGTTTTTAAAAAAATATCTTGACGTGGATTAAATAACGAATCAGATTATGCCAGCTTAGAAACGCACCAAAACATCCTCTAAAGCAGATGCACCATAAAATTTTCCATCCGCCATTTCACCGGTAAGCAACCGGTAGCCCATATACATGATGATCTGGAGGCCCACGTGGCAATTACCTCTATTCCGTTTTTTTATTTCTTTGCTTCTTTCTCTGCTGAACGGTGAGCCATCTTCTTCCTTAAATTACAGACCTCTTCTTCCCAGTGTCGACCAGTACCTTTCTCCCCCCTCTTGTTTTCTTTCTTTCTTCTTCCCTTCACTATCCTTCTCCTCATGGTTTTCTCCCTCACCCCAATTTCTTTATTTTCCAATTTCTTTTTCTTTCTTTTCTTCAATTCTTTCAACTCTCTTTCTTGGATGGGTGTCGGCGGTTGAGAAGTTGTGGCCGACGGGAGGTGGGCGTCCGGCAGCGGTTGAAGAACACATGGGAGATGGTGGCACGCGGCATCCGTTGGGAACAATTTGAGCTGCGGGTGACGGCGGTTGGGGAATTGTGGGAGACAACGGACATCGCTTGGCGGCGGCTGGCCAAGCTTTGGCTATGGAAGATCCAGATTGGAGAAGTACGGCCGACGAGCAGTCCACAGTGGCGATAAGAAAGTAATAGAACAAAGAAAATACAGAGTAAGTAAGAAAGGAATAAAAAAGAAAGAACGATAAAACACATAGAAGATTAGGGAAGAAGAAGAGGTGGTCTGAGAGAGAAAGAAAGAGAAAACAAAAAAGGAAAAGAAATGATAAAACTAAAAATATTGCAACGTGGGCCTCCACATCAGAAACTACCGGGATTACTGGCTGCTAACCGCTCAAATGACGAATTTGATTAATTTTTTGGACTAGATGGACTTAATTGATTCGAAAAATAGTAGAAGGATTCAATTGACTTTTTCATAAAAGTACGATGACCTATTTGACAGTTTTCTCTATATAGAATTTCTAAGACGTGCTAACAAATCAATGTAACCTTCACTTACAGGTGCATTATGAAAGTTTTTGTGAGTCGTGAAGAATTTTTTATGCTGAATTTGCACCATATATAGTAATGATGAGGCGGTTGAATTTAAGATGGACGTGGAAGGTGGTGATCATGCTTTAATTTGGGGAAACTGCCGAGTGGTTTAATTTCTTCAGCCTTCTAGAACAAATTGGATGCTGAGTCATTTTTTACATTGACAATTTAACTCCATATGTGTCAAGCTTTGTGATACGCATACACTATAACTGTTTGTTCTAATTGGAAGTGCCAAGTTTTTTGCCTAAATGTCCGGCATTTCATATGGCATGAGATGTCACGATGACTTCATGAACTGCGCCCAGGCGGGAACAGTTTTCCAGACGATTGTGTTTTTATATATATTAAGATAATACACGTGTTTTTACTTTATTTGCCCAAGTAAGCAAATGCACCGTACCCTAGAAATTAATCCATGTACCGTAGAATTTTCCAAAAATATAAAATAAACTAGGACCAAGTGACCAACACGGGACCCGAGAACCAAGAATATACTCCCTCCGGTTCTAAATAAACTTCACACTTTCCTTTTTGGGACGGTCCAAAATAAACTTCACACTTCCTTATTTCCTTATTTGGCAAAGAAATCTACATCAAAACAGTGTTAAACAGTGTTAAACAGTGCCAAACAGTGTCTCAACAGTGCCAAACAGTGTCTCAACAGTGTCAAACAGTGTCTCAACAGTGTACTCTACAGTAAAGTCAACTTTATTTCCTTAATAACTGTGAAGTCAAACACTGAAGTTTAAAAAGAACCGGAGGGAGTAGGTCCCAACTCCCAAGTCTAGACCTGACTATTTATTTTAGAACAGGACGTCTCACGACCAAAACATAAACAAACAAAGACCCTGTCCATGCCTGTGATCTTGTAACATACGCTACCCTTCACTTTTAAATATAATACTCCTCAATTTTATAATTCATCTAAGAATTTTATGTTCGAAAAGTCTAAAAAAATCAGCAAATCAATCATTTACATCCGCAAGACCCGCAAGTCAACCTTTTAGGACTTTGTGGGTTTTCCGTTGCTAAAGTTCATTATGATTCCTCTAGCATTAATTAATTACTTATATAAAATTGAGTAATTCGATTGAAAAAAAAAAACGCACCAAGAGAATGCAACTCCCTCACTTCTAACTGCATTTATGCATCCAAGGACATCTTAAATCTCAAAGTTGTTGAAGCAATTGCCTGCCTATTCTTTTTATCATGTTAAATGTTTATAATACAAAACAATTAATTAATAATAAACACATAATCCGTAGAGCATAAAATATCGTTTGTATGAATTGTATCATCGTCGAACATTAAGAGCTGTCCCAAGAGCTTAAAATCTTCTCTCCAACGTTGAGGGATCAAGAAAGAGTATCTACAAAATTGTCTCCAGAATTGCAAAGCTTCTTTGTCCACAATGACCGCAATAGCATCAAAATCTCTACATCCATTTGGGTCAAAGTTAGCAGAGAACTTTTATGCTGGACAAAAAGTACTATGTATGTGTTTGGTAAAATACTTTCAAACTTTTGAGCCCGTTTGGTAGCACGAAAATCGGCTGTTTTGGCTGATTCTGCTGAAATTTATGAAATTCTGGCTGAAGTGGCTGTTTTGGTTGATTCTGCTGATTCAAGAAAAAATATTTTAAAAATATATTTTATTAATAAATTATAGAAAAAATTACATGTAAAAATAGCTAAAATAGTCCTCTACAGTAACTTCAGCCAATACAGCCAGAAAAGTAACTCCAACCTTACTTTTTCTGCTTATTACACAATTCAGCACACAAAAGTAAAAGTTACGTGTTTGGTGAAAAAGCTGGCTGATAAGCCTGATAAGCTGAAAAAAGAGGTCTCCAAACGGGCTCTTTAAAAATACACTTTTGGGCTTGTTTAAGAGAGAGAGGGAGGAGAGCTGGAGATATCATGAAAAATATGACTCAAATAAAAGGAATATATTCCATTTTACTATGTACTGAACATGGTGATTGTTTAATTCGTTTGAGTGACTAGTGGTATAATGTCAAACTTTTGTTCCCCCCCCCCCCCCCCCCCCCCAAATGAACTTCAATGAGTAAATCAATTGTAAGACAAGTCATCCCAAACAAGCCACAGTTTTAAGTTTCCAACATGTAAGCGTATACATACCATTATGAACAAGCCAGACAGATTAAAACATCCCACCGGTCACACTGTTTTGAAGTTCCCAGACAGAATCTTGTAATACTCTATTTGCTGTGTTCCAACAAATGAGATAAAAAGTTCGTTAGGTTAGATAGTAACAAAATGACAAATCACCAAAATGACAAATCAGAGCCGTCCAAACCTCCTGTGAAACTGAGGGAGAAACTTTTTTCAGCGCCATTTTGAAATGAGCATCTTTAATGGAAGTTGATATCCCATCCATGCTCATGTTTGTTGACTCCAACTTCTCATCAACAGCAGCCATAGCAGCTTCGAGCATCTGTGGTTGTTGCCATTAATAACAAAACAAAATAAAACTTAAGACAGGAATTGGTTAAAACTTAAAAGCAGGAAATTGGAGGATTTTCATTGATATGAGGAAAATATCATGGAAACATGAACAAACCAGTGATGAGAGGTCGGCCCCACTTAGGTTGTTACAAAAGCTATCTCTGCCCAAGGCTGCTAAGTCTACACTAGGATCTATAGATTTTTTTCTTCCTAGAGCTTTTAAAATGAGCCCTCGCTCATCTGGACTTGGGAGTGGGACATAAAGAAGCTTTCCAAACCTTCCAGGCCGTAATAGAGCCCTGTCCATTGCTTCTGGCCTACCAATATATACATACCAATAATAAAGAATATATTGGCCTACAAATATGTCTTAAAGCTATCAGCAAAAACACCATAAACATTTAAAACACAAATCTGAACCTATTTGTTGCTCCGATCACATAAACATCCTTCCGTGTTTCTGCGCCATCTAATTCTATCAGCAACTGCAATAATTAGAGAAAAATGGTATCATTCTAGTTAAACTAAAGAGTACATATGTACAATGTAATCAGATGTTTTCATGAGAAACAAAATAACCTGGTTCAACATCCGCTCTATAACATAACTCCCTTCTTTATTACGTTCGGTTGTCAAAGCATCCACCTATCAAAAATAAAGTTACAAGAGAAAACTGTATGTGAATACCCTACGATAGAGAAAAAGTGTAGTACATTATTAATCATCTAGAGGCACATCAAGCAATACTGAGACACCAAAAAGCATAACACCAAATACTAATCCTCAGAGCACTGAAATATCACATTTATGACCAATTCGCCTTTTACTTAAAATGTCAATTTTTGCCTTTTGAGCAAGTAGAGGTTACGATCTGAAAGCCTGAGAGTCAAGACAACTCAGAATAATTTGAGGAATAATCTGAGAGCACAATCATAGCAACAGAACATGGCAAGATTGTCAAGACTGAATTCCAATAGTTTTGGTTGCTCCCTCAATTGTGTATATGCTAAATTTGTTCCTTAGGTAGTTGAGTTATTAGATTTCTGTGATCATTAGATATTTGATTTTCCTGATTTCTCTCTATAATGCAATCATATATTTGATTTTTGACAATATCAATGTGCATCCTTCAAAAGCATAACAAACAATTCCTAGAAACATAAATGCTACCAAACCATATACGAATGGAACACAAGATAGTAAAAATGAAATGTGACTTATAAAGAGAATGATTTTTAACGACTCCATATTTGTTACTTTAAGGAACGATAATCACCTCATCAAAAAAAATAATGCATGGAGAACATGTCCTTGCACGGTTGAATAGTGTTCGGATGTTAGATTCTCCTTCACCAACATACTTGCTCAGAAGCTCAGGACCCTTGGATAACAAAAAAATATTAGCAAAAATGATAAAAGCAAACTAAACTAGTACTTCAGAATCAAGAACTCAGAGAATAACCTTAACATGAATGAAATTGGCTCCAGCTTCATTAGCAACAGCTTTTGCAATCAATGTTTTCCCACAACCTGGTGGACCATATAGCAAGAATCCTGTCTCCAAATCCACTCCAAATCCCTAAAAGAAACATAATTGTTGAAAGGAAAAATAGACCCCTTAATTGTCGATGTAGTATTTAGTATTTACATCTCAAAAACTAATTCACAAGTAAAATTGGTCAAGAAACGACATGCAATTAAATAACCAAAGTGGCACTGTACTGTTTCCAATTGGACGGTACAGCTCACTAGCAAGTAACAAAATAAATAATTTATCTAATAATGGAAGAGTTGAAATTGACATCCTAGTGCACTTTATTGAGAAAGAATCCTGGTGACATTATGACTTCATGCACCAGAAGTTGAAAACTAATATGCGAACAAAATGTGACCAGAACGGACAATATTTCTCTACCTCTGGTTACCTACTTGGCTACGTCTCAGAAAAGAAAAGCCTAAAGCCTTAAAAAGATCTGAATGGAAAGGATATAAAACTATAATACATCAGTTACAACTCAATTAAACTAGCATCACTCTACATGTTTTACAGAACTAAAGAGTTACTATTACCCGCTAAAATTTCAATGGTGCTAGAAAACAGTGTCTTCAAAAAGACATTAAAGTCCACCACGAGTGGAGTTTACTGACAACTGATTGCTATGTGGCTCAATGGATTGGGTGCAGAAGACAGTAGAAGGGGAAAACAGTTGCAAGAATGATGGCACGAAACATAGATTAACTGGTCAATCCAGTGCATGAATGAAATGCATACAAATGAATACCTCATACACCTCTGGATGCTTGATACGCCTAACAATATAACGGTCAAACTCCCGCCTCAACAAGTCAAGCCCTCCAACATCTTCCCATTTAACATTTGGAATAGATGAAAATCCCTCCCGTCTGGAAGAAGGTTGAACCATTTTGGCTGCTTGCTGCAATCAATCAGGTACATATGAGATCTAACTCCACTTTAAACAGAAAGTATCAAGAATTTGAGATCCTAAAAAGAAACTAGTGTCTGTATGAGAATACCAGAAGCAGGAATGAGAATTTCATAAGAAACATGCTAATTTTTAGCACCAAAGACAAAGCTGATGAAGAAATCAATTCATCAACTCTGGAATACGGGATTAATGAACTAAATTCATTGCAACACACACCTCGAAATCAGCCATGGTAATGCTGACGTTTTCCATCTCTTCAGGAGACCATGGTTCTTTCCACCACTCTTCATTCTGTTTACCATCTACTGGTATTCTGGAGAGATCAGTTTTTCTCTGGTCTATAATCCTCTTCATTGCAAGGTTTCCGGCTTTATTTGTCAAAGCAACCAAATCAGCCCCAACAAATCCCGCGGTCAATCTTGCTATCTTCATGAGATCGAACACACCTTCAACTTTGAGATTACGTGTTAGCACGGACAAAATGTCAAACCGAGCATTCTCATCCGGAACACCTAAAACAATTTCACGATCAAATCGACCTGGTCTCCTCAACGCAGGGTCAATGGAATCAGGTCTGTTTGTAGCACCAATAACTAAAACATGTCCAGATTTTGCATCAGAACCTTCTGGAAATGCATTTCCATGCCCCCCATCTAAGTGCTCTGAAGAAGAATTCCCATCTGAACACTCCACGGTTCTATGTGATTGATCCATGCAAGTCATCAATTGTGTCACAATACGTCGTTCCATTTCCCTCTGCACATTTTCTCTTTTTGAGGCAATGGAATCAATCTCGTCAATAAATATAATAGATGGTGCTGTCCTGTATGCCTTTGAGAACAGCTCGCGTATATTCTCTTCTGATGCTCCTGCAATATGCAACATGTATTCTTTAAGTACCAAGTCAAACTTCAAGACAACATGGATCAGCTAACAAAAGCAAAGCAAATGCATGTCACTGTCACGAAGAAAAGACAGGCCCCACTTAATGCCATTAGCTTCATTCTAATACCAGTTTATTCGGATTATAAAGCAGTCATAGTGCTCCATATACATATATCAGAAACCGAGCAACATATCATGTTATCAGGAGTTCTAACTTCTAAGTAACTGATTTATCAGAACACATACACACTCTGAATCTTCAAAAGTACCTTATCACTTCACACCAAACAACTAGATATAAAATGGAACCAGTATCTTAAACAAGACCCTATTTTATCAGTGAACTAATGAGTCCGAATAAATTGCAGAAAAAGAATTGCTTCTAAGTTCTAACTTCCCTACAGCTATATCACTGAACTGGGGAAAATGTGAAGTGCCTTGTAAGAGCATGTCTATGGACCCAAAAAGATTCGATTCATGCGATACAGTGACTACCAATGTAGAACAAGCCACAAAGAAAAATGTTCATATCACCTGAAATTCCAGAGACCAATTCAGTAGCAGAGATTTTGTAAAAGGGAACTCCAGTTTCATTCGCAATGGCATGAGCTAGTTTTGTCTTTCCACACCCTGGTGGCCCATAAAAGAGGATTCCAGACATTGGCTTGATTCCTAAATGTGTCAGCAGTTGAGGATGGTACAATGGAACCAACACCTCCATCTTCAGTTCCTCTACCACAGAACCCATCCCTCCTAGGTCCTTAAACTTTGGCCCAACATTAGGCTTTTCAGCATTCCCTTGAATTCCTGTTCTCCCAAACTCTGGCTCCTTTTTACCATAGGTAGAATCTCGTGGGGATGGTAAAGGGGGTTTCCCTTTCAATAAGGCAAGTTTATTCTTCACCTTATCATTGTTATTCACAACCTCCACTTCCATTAACTTGGCATTCGATTTGGGATTTGTTTTCACCTTCTGTTCACTATATTGTTCACGGAGCAAGGACCGCATTAAATCGTGTTTGGGCTCAACCTTCTCTCCATAAATAGCGTCCACTGATGAGGATGAAGTAGGCGTACGATCACTCCTACTCTCGGATGAAGATTCTGATACAGGAGACGACGATTCCTGGTGCGTGGCTTGCTTCCTGAGGTGTTGGGCTTCAATACACTGCAACCGCTTCTCCCTATCGTCGATTCTCCTTTGCATCTTACTGGGGCGATTCATTTCGTCGCCGCTGCTTTTATCGACCAAGACGCCTCTAGAGTTAATGGTTTGGAAAACGTCCTGTACTCGTTTGGTAAATGGCTGCAACTTCTTCCGGCTGTAGTCGGGATGAGCAGAGCGGAGGTGGCTCACGATCTGCTCGACGGTGGAGCACTTGCTTCTACATGCTTCTATGCGTCTGCGGAGCACTATGAACTCCACGCCGCCGCCGGATCCTCTTCTTCCGTGCCTCATCTTAAACCACCTCTGTTTTGGGTTACGAAATCTATAACCTATTTATCAAAGATAATACTCCGTAATTAGTTGTTTGATTAAATATCCCGCCAAAAATGCTTGTAATCGAGAAGGTATTTGTGAAATTCCCTTCTGTTCCTTTGAGTTTAAACTACAGCTGCTTACTTCTCCAAAAAGCTGCTTCCACCTGCGACTTCCCTCAGAAATATCCTTCCCGCCGGAAGCTTGGGTGTAGACCACCCTGGGAGCCCTGGGATGGACCTGCGAGGGTGGCTGCTCTTCGGTGGTTTACCACTTTACCCTATTGAGTTAGTACTCCTTGATCATGGACCTTGGGGAGATTTCGATTAATGTTTGTGGCCCAATTTGATGAAAATATAGCGTTAGAGTTGGTTGAAGAATCACAATTTATATATGGAAAGAAAATATTAGTTCCATTACAAACAAATCAATAATCTGACATGTAAAAATTAATATTAAAAAAAAAACCATTAAATGGGACAACAGTACTATCAAACAAAATGGGACAATAGCGGTCGAAAGAGATTTATAAAATTTATAGAAAATTAGAAGAATTTCGCAATTTAGGATATTTTCTTTTGGACTGGTTTTAGTCCCAGACCAGATCAAACCAGACCAAATCAGATTTGACTTCCGTAGTTATAAAATACACAGAGACCAGACGTTTACCAAACCAGACCAAATCATACCAGACCAGACCAGACAACACCAGCAAATTTCAGTCCAAAAGAAAACATCCTTAAACTAACTCGTGAGTTTTTCCTACTGTTGTTGTGTTTTACCACTCGTGCAGGATGTCTTGCTTTATTAAGCAATGGTTCTTGAGTTTGTTTACTTGCAATTATGAATGGTCCTTGCAAGCAAGCAAATTGAGTCCTTATGTTATTTCTAAGGTGTGATATTTTTTTGACAAAAAAAAGTGTAGTATGTTGAAGGATATTACTTTAATCTGCATTCGTTATAAATAGAAAGTGTATCTAGGGTTCAAATGTACGGAGTATTTAGCTAATGGCCCATTGGCTCATGCCTTGTAAAACCTTAATCCCTCCTATTTAAAGGGGGCTTGCTAATGGAATGAAACACATCTCTCACTTCCCTACAACACGTTATCAGCGCGTAGCTCTTAAAATCCTATTTTTTCTGTCGAGCATCGTAGCCGACCTCTCCAACCCTTGGCTCTCTCCTCTCATCCTCGGTTGTCTCCTCTCATCATCATCAAACTTTGAGATGACTCACCCAACTGGACCTGAGTTTGACATTCTAGACTCAGAAGGACTTGAGTACCATATGTGGGTTTCCGATGTGGAAATCACTTTTGTAGCTAAAGATTACTCTGCCACGCTCATTGACCCCAAAGATTTGAACGGTGAAGCACCGTCAGAAAAGACAAAGGCAAACGCTTTAATGTTTCTTAAGCGCCATATTGACCCAAGCCTACGCTAGGAATATCTTCAGTTGAAAAACCCCAAAGAATTGTAGGATGCCCTTAAGGGACGCTTTGGGAACATTAATGATACGTTGCTCCAAGAGCTCATGGTGCACTGGAATGAAATCTGTCTCGTTGACTATAAGAAAGTTAACGATTTCAACAAAGATATGTTACGCCTGAAAGCACGTCTCAACTTTTGTGGCAAAGTAATCACAGAAGGTGAAATGATTGAGAAAACACTTTCCACATTCCCTACCTCGACACTTATACTAGCGAACCAGTATAGGTTGGAGTATGACAACAAAAGGCTTGCCACTTATAATCAGTTAATTAATCTACTCCAAGTGGCTGAGAGACACAATGAGGTTCTCTTGAACAACAATGTCAGGCCAGTTGGGACAAAGAAAATTCATGAAGCTAACTATGGCAAAATTACAAGTGGAAAGAACCCCAATGCAAAGGGGGGGGGGGTGCTAACCAGTACTCACGTGGGCAATATTCAAAACGTGGGAGGGGCAATAAGGGTCGTGGAGGTCGTGGGGGCCGTGGAGGTCGTGGTCCGGGTTGTGGAGGATCTTCCGATGTATGGCAAAGAGATGAGGGTGCAGGATCAAATGTCCGCAATGCATCCGGAAAGCCTTCAGCCAAACGAGAAAGAAATGACGGAGACTCTTGCTATAGATGTGGAGTTGGAGGTCACTGGCATAAGAATTTCCAAGCAAATAATAAAATTGCAGCAGCTTACAAAAAGTATTGGGAGGCTAAAGAACAGGAATCACAGTTTGTGACCGATGAGGATAATGAGGTTGACGTTAACCTCACAGTTGCTGATTTTGGCGGCAAGAAGGACGTTGTTCAGTCAGTCGATGCGCCTGACTTTGACTGATTGAACTTAATTTCTTTATCTGCTCATGGACTATTGAACACTATTACTATTTGTGTGTGGTTTTATATTTCTTTTGTGTTGGACACTACATGATTATTGTTTTTCCATAATCCAAACAATATTTAAATTATGGGTTCAGATTTATATTTCGTGTCCTTATTATACAGGAATGACTCGAGGAGAACTTGAGTGTTTAGTAGATAGTGGGACCACACACACTATCATACGAAATAGGCAATTATTTGTTAAATTAATATCCTATAATTCTTCTGTGACTACAATGATTGATCTTCAGACGTAATAAGAGGGCTAGGTACTGCCCAATTTATGCTGCCTAATGGCACAAGATTCATCGTCACATACGCTCTATATGCACCTAGAGCTACCCGAACCTTATTAAGTTTTAAAGATATTCGTGAAAATGGGTTTCATGTGGAAACTCACTGTGAGAATGGTGTAGAGTATCTTTACATTACCTCTAATGAATGTGGAAGAAAGCGCATACTAGAGAAATTAATGAGTCAGACTAGTGGACTTTATGTCACCACTATTCGGATCTTTGAATCCTGTGTTGTCACCAATGATGAAATTTGGGACACGGACTCATACAGGCTTTGGCACGATCGTCTTGGACACCCTGGTCATGACATGATGATTCGTATATTAAAAAATTCACATGGACATCATTTCTTTCGAGGAAGGAATACAAATGGGAAAAAATCAAACACATTGAAAGGCGTTATCCCTACTGATAGACGTTATATTTACCTGTGTTTAACATAAGTATTTATAAGTATTTGTTGGAGAAAAGAAGATAAATCGGAAAAATACCTTCAGAATGAGAGCTAAGGCATAAAACATTGTGATGAATTTGAGTATAACGTATTGTAGAGAACTCGAAATTACTTGATTCGAATTTCATGTGATTGTTAACTCAATAAGGTACAAATGTTATGAAGACGTCATGGCCAAAATATGAAAGGAACAAGACTCAATCAACCAACAAAGTCAGATGTTGCTGGTGGGATTTCAGGATGCATACCTCTCAGTGTTTTAGCCATAACGTTTGATTGGATGAATAAAATCACGTCATTCAAGTTTTGGTGGATAGAAGACTTCATTATATACAACTTTGGTGAAGGAATCATGTCCAAATTCATAGCGGAACATTCCCAAAATCCCGGTACAAAAACCGACACGTTTTGATCCATTTCAGAGGAAGAAAGATGAAGTACATTTTTGGGCGCTGCAACCGGCGCCGGTCAGCCAAGAACCGGTGGCGGTCGGAAGGCATTTTCGCACTAAACGAGCCTGTTTGCGACCGGGGCCGGTTCTAGACTGATCGGGGCCGGTTGGGACGATTTTCTGTTAAAACACAGCAACGTGCAAGAGGATTTTTTATGGGAAAACTTCACCTTCCTCATCTCTTGATCAAATATTGCTCCATACCTGATTGTTGGGCTCGAATGGACTAAAAGATGTCATTCTTTAGCCTATATAAAGCCCTCAATTCATCAAGCAATAACAGCCCATTCCATAGATTAATTCCTAGCTTTTATATTTTTATTCTTGGTATTTTCTTCAAGTTCTTGAGGAGGAAACTTTAACCTCCAAAATCATTGGTGTTTAGGTATTATTTTCTTTGTAATTTCATGTTCCATTACATTTCAATATTGTATTGTGATTAATATGAGCATTAGAGGCTAATTTCTTAGCTAAGGCTTGGGATGAACCTCTATGCCCATTATGTGTTTGATAAAAGTTCTAAACCAATAAATTGTGATTTATCCTTTATATTTTGATTGTTTATGACTATGGTGTACAACATAGAAGTATGTTAAATTTAGTTTATGCTTGCAATTAACGTTGAAGTCTAAACTATGAACATTAAAGGATAAACATATATAGTACCGAGAATAGAAATATATCCGGTCTTATATGATACGGGTATGATGTCTTGATATTCAACGGGGTTTTCGGTGGATGAATATAAGCCGTAACGGGACTTACACGTAACGAAAACCACGCTCTCGCTGCCTTAACCGGAGTTGAGAATATATTAGCGACATCGTATTCATGATTATTGGGGAAGAACAATTATTAAATAACTATTAAAGCATTTAGGTGAATCCCGATTGCCTTAGTAAATCTCATTCTTGTTTAAACCAATCTCAAGAACAAAGTTCCTGAAAAATTATATCACTTATATTCTTTGCATTCAATATTCGACTTTATAATATCAACCATTTCCCTGTGGATCGACCCTGTGAATCCCGATTTACCGGTATTTTATTACTACATCGGCACTTTGTATACCTGCAAGTTCAGCCCGATCACCTACATTTATAGAAAACGAAAAAACATCTTCTAAAGTACGAGAAGAATTACCTCATGCATCTTTAACTATGTCCAGATCAAGAATAACATTTTGTAAAGCCTGTTCTTTAGCAAAAACATGATCGAGATGATCCTATGCTAAAGATACAAAAGAAAACATCCCATTCATACAAAGAATACAAGGAGATATATGTGGACCCATCCATGCAGAATGCGGACCATTTAGATACTTTATGGTTCTGGTGGATACATCGACCCGTTGGTCACACGTTGCTTTACTGTCCACAAGGAACGCTGCATTCGCAAAGCTCCTAACACAGACAATCCGTTTAAGGGCTCACCACCTTGATAATCCTATTAAGTCAATAAGACTTGATAATGCGGGAGAGTTTACATCAAAGACTTTTGATGAATATTGCAAGTCCATCGGGATCGATGTAGAGCATCCTGTTCCCCATGTGCATACACAAAATGGTCTCGCAGAAGCTACAATCAAAAGACTACAAATGATAGCTAGGGCATTGGTTATGCGCACCAACTTGCATATATCTACATGGGGATATGCAATATTACATGCATCGATACTTATTCGCTTTAGACTCACTGCAAACCAACCATTTTGTGCATACCAGTTGGTCACTGGATATGAGACTGACATTTCACATCTACGCATATTTGGTTCTGCAGTGTGTGTGCCGATTGCGCCCCCACAGCGTACTAAAATGGGTCCTCAAAGGCGATTGCGTATATACGTTGGGTATGAATCTCTAACAATCATCCGTTATTTAGAACCTTCGACAGGCGATCTTTTTACCGCACAATTTGCGGATTGTCACTTTGATGAGACAACATTCCCGTCGTTAGGGGGAGATGGGAAAATAATCTTTCTGAAGGAACAGCAGGAATTGACCTGGTGCGTTCCGAACTTGTCTCGTTTTGATCCCCGCACTTCACAATGTGAAGGTGAAGTTAAAAGAATGTGCCAGACTCTATGCCTGATTCATATACGTAGATCGCTAAAGTGACAAGATCACACATACCAGCAGCAAATGTGCCTGCAAGGTTAGATATCCCCAAAAAGGGGAATGGTGCCATAGTAGGAGGCACTACAACCACACTTAGTGGATGTGTGGTTGAGGTTGTGGCTCCTCAAAGGAAGAGAGGAAGGCCACTTGGTTCGATTGATACTCGCCCAAGGAAGAGAAGGACGAGTATGGCACAACCTGATCCATTGATCATCGATGTAGAACACCCCTTCCATGAGATTATCTCTGATTACAGTTATGTCCACGAATCATTGAAAATGCACATATGCTAATGGAAAGATCTTTCATACACATCGATGATATATTTGCATTTACCGTTGCTCAAGAAATTATAGAGCACGATGATATCGAACCACGCTCTATTGCAGAATGTCAACAAAAAGACAAAAATGGGTATTTGTCATAAAGCGAAATGAGAAGAATGAAGTCTTAAGGTACAAGGCTCGCCTCGTGGCGCAAGGTTTCTCACAACGCCCTGGGATTGACTACGAGGAGACCTACTCTCCCGTAATGGACGTTATAACATTCCGATACCTAGTCAGTTTAGCAGTTTCTGAAGGACTGAAGATGCAACTAATGGATGTGGTTACCACATATCTCTATGGGGATCTTGATTCAGAGATATATATAAAAGTGCCTGAAGGACTTTCACTACCCAAATCAAGTGACTCTAAACCACGGAGTGCGTTTGCAATCAAATTGAAGCGCTCACTTTAGGGATTAAAACAATCCGGAAGGATGTGGTATACCCGCCTAAGTGACTACTTGATTGGGAAGGGATATAAGAACGATGAACTATGCCCCTGCGTATTCATTAAGAAAACAAGTTCCGGATTCACAATCGTGGTTCTATATGTTGATGATATGAACATAATTAGTACTCTTGATGAAATAAGAGAAACCACCAGCCATCTAAAATCTGAATTTGAGACGAAAGACCTTGGGAAAACTCGATTTTGTCTAGGCCTTGAGCTAGAACATCGAGTTTGTGGAGTATTAATCCACCAGTCTGCGTATATCCAAAAGATGCTCAGGCGATTTAATATGGATAAAGCGCACCATGCTAGCACTCCCATGGTTGGTCAAAGTTTAGATCCTAAAAAGGATCCATTTCGTCCTAAGGAAGACGACGAAGAAGCACTCGGAGCTGAAATTCCCTATCTAAGTGAAATAGGGCGCATTATTGTACTTAGCACAGTGCACTCGACCAGATATAGCATTCTCACTGAACTTGTTAGCTAGGTTTAGCTCCGCGCCAACGCAACGTCACTGGAATGATATCAAAAATATTTTTCGGTATCTAAAAGGAACTAGTGACTTGGGATTGTTCTTTCCCTACAGAGAGACAAAGGAAACCACGAATGAATTGTGGTTACAAAAGAAAATACCAAAGACAAAAGGATCACCCCTTATACGAAAACTCCAAATGATGTCTTGGTAGGTTTTGCTGATGCTGGATATCTCTCTGACCCTCACAAAGGCCGCTCTCAAACTGGTTATGTTTTCACTGTTGGGAACACGGCAATATCTTGGAGATCAACTAAACAAACCCTTGTGGCTACCTCCTCGAACCACTCTGAGATTATCGCTCTACACGAAGCAGTTCATGAGTGTATATGGTTAAGACCTATCATTACACATATTCGAGGAACTAGTTGTAAAATCTACCACTGAAGGGCCTACTTGCATTTATGAAGATAATGCAACTTGTATTGAACAAATGAAGTTAGGATATATCGAGGGTGATAACACAAAACACATATCTCCAGAGTTCTTCTACAATCAGTAACAACAGGCTCTTCTCAAAATTCAAGTGAATCAAATAAGCTCGGAAGAAAACGTAGCAGACTTGTTTACCAAGTCATTACCCAAAGCCACTTTTGAGAAACATGTAATATTTTTTCTTCATAATGAAAACCGAACTACCAACAGTCAATATGGTGACTTTGTTGGAATGGACAACACCATGACAATCACATTAAACAACTTTGGCCCATCTTTTAACAAATCTGAGCTGTATATACTACCAATGCAATACCATTTTTTTTACCATGATTGTGACGTTTTTGAGTGGGAATTTGATCATTTTCTCATCTTGCTTTGTATATAGATAGATGTTTATTGGAGATTTGGCTACATAGCCAATATGTCAGTTTTGCTCTATTTCCATTTTAAAACAATTGACATGAGGCTGAAGTTCAAGGATTCTGAATTCGCATGGGAATGACGGGATGAAGCAAAAACATGATGCCTTAAACGGGTCGATCTGGACCCAAACTCCAAACCGAGAACCACCCGACACCGACTATTGACCTTTCCGGGTAGGGGTGGGAAAAACCGAGCCGAAACCCGGAAACCGACCCTGGACCGACCCGAATTATGATCCCGGTCCGGGTTTTTTCTTTTTAACCGGCCCGAATTAAAAAAAACGGACCGAACCGAAAATTCCAGGCTCATTAACAGTCCTTAAAATCTATAACCCGGCCCGGACCGAAAAAAACCCGAAACAATTAGTTTTAATATAATAATTATATAGTATATGAATATAAATAAAATATTTCCTAATATATGATTATAATCACGGTGGATAAAAAAGATTTAGTAACTTTTAGTGACTACAAATATGTTGAATTTGTTTAGCGTAATGATGACCATGAGAATATATTTATAGCAACTCTAGTAACTTTTTTATTTATAAAATTTATTTCGTCATATTTTTAAGAAACCTATATTATTTATATATATACATCTTACATTTTTTTATCATCAATATATACATCTTACATAAAATATTAAGATAATTATCTTCTTTAAAATTGAATTGTTGGTGATTTTGGAGACTAATATTTGTGTTATTATTTGCGGTTTGTATTTTTGATTAATTTTATTTGAAAACAAGTGTTAAAATATAAAAGAACAATGACATATTTCACGTCCGGGCTTTAACCAGTCCAACCCGAACCCGGACTGAACCCGGGCTACCAAAAACCCGACTCGGACCGAATATAATGGGCTTTGTTCCGGTCCGTAATTTTCATAACCCGAGACCTTCTGAGTAATTTCCGAGTTTAGCAAAAACCCGACCCAGACCGAACCGATCCCACCCCTATTTCCGGGTGGCCCATACATATGATCCGCTACACAATAAATGCCCAGAAAAGGCAACAATCCAAACCCGCATGGCCCCTCTTTCCTTTCGGTTTAATTCGTTTCCATTGATTCTCTCGCCGATCGCACGTTAACTCATTTCCCCACCGCTTGCACGCGCCACCGTCACCGCCATCCTACGCCGGAAGATGGGAATTTCGTGTAGTAAACGACAACAGCAGCAGCAGCCGCAGCAACAATTTCCACCGCCGTCTCTCTCGCAACTTCCGCCGCCGTCTCTCTCGCAAGTTCTACCGCCAGAGCAACCTCCATCTTCATCCAGTCCTCCTCCGCCCCTCCCTCCGCCTCCGCCGGCACTACCCTGCGTTGTTTTCAGAGCTAGTTCACCCTATCCCGCTCCCTCCCAGAACCCTTATTCCTCGATCCCCGATCCTTACACGCGTCAGTCCACAGGACCCTTCAATCACGGCTACAATCAAACCAACCGACCTTTTATTTACCATAACAATTACCATCCGTCCTATTACCTACCACAAGCTCATGGATGGTATGGGTCCCGCCCCCCTCCGCCACCGCCCTTGCCTGCCGTTCCCTATGTAGATCACCAGAACGCGAAGAAGATCAAGAATGACGTAAATGTGCACAAAGATACTATAAAGCTAGAAGTTGATATGCTCAATAAGGATTGCCATTTGGTGTCTTTTATTTTCTATGCAATGGTGGATGGAAGGTATAATTCGAATATCTGTTCTTACCATCTTGAGGTATAAAACGTTTGGAGTATATTCTATAATGATCATGTACTTTAGATTGATTGTAGTAGCTTTTCAGTAACTTGAATGGACTAGGCTGTAGGTTAACGTTTATGCTTAAGTAGGTTAGCTGTGGAGTGGAAACCAGTGGTACTGTGGTAGGGACATGGATTCATGGAAAGGCTACACAGTGATTCAAATCTCTTCCTACTGTGTGTGTATCCTATATATGAACATACATTTATAATTTATAAAAACCTGTTGAGATATTAATCCTTCTCTTTGCTTTTTGTCCTTGTAAAGTATGAAGTTTTGACAATTTTCTAAATCAGGCCTTCTAGTACAATATTCCTAGCTTCATCATTGGGTAAAATATTATTATAAGCTGAATCACTATTGCAAGCAAACATGTTTTATGATTTGAAAACCATGTGTTTTCAAAACATATTTTATGTTTGAAATTTGAAAACATTGTTCAGTGCCTGGGTTGCTGTTTGATAAAGCGCTCTTTAGAGAACAGATAAAACACCATTTCGAAATTTGAAGTGTCTAGGAGATTTGTTGTTTGGAGGGAAAATAACACTTCGGGACCTGCAATTATTGCCAGGTTTGAGAGAAAATAACACTTCAGGCCTTTTCTCTATGGCAGGTGAGGCTTAAACCACGAGGCAGTATGAGGAGTAATCCTCAAACTTCATTGCATTTTGTATTGAAATTGAAGATATCTGACACAAAAAATTGGAAAAGTTCCACGCATTAAATTTAGATACTCCTAAGCCAGCCACATCACAAGTTTGAAAACAGGGTTAAAAACATAGGATCACAAGTGCATAGGTAAGCACAGGAGACTCGTGCAAGAATCCCACATGAGTTGAAATATGGAAAGGATTTTGAGTAATATTCTAATGCCTATAACTTTGCAAGATTTTATCGACAAGTCAAAATGTTTTTGAAAGACTTCAAACAACTCAGATATGCTTTTAAATCAAGAAAACTCGTTTGGGATGAAACCGCTTGAGCAGCTATCTATAAATATGGTGAAGTACCAAAAAGCGGAAACATTAACTACATTTCATTGTTGCCAAGCATGTGTGTAGAGTTGTAGACTAAAGAGATAGGAGTTGCAGTTTTTTTTTTTGCATTGTCTCTATCAGGATATGAATTCCTAATAACTCTTGATCTTTAATCTTCTTGTTCGGGGTTTTCTATCTTTGAAATCCATACTAGAACTGCTCAAGCATCTTGATCTTCTAATTCCGTATTATGCCATAGAAGGGAGAGAGTTATTATTGTAAGGTTTTTCTTTTTATTTAACCTTCATTTTGTTTCCATTAATAAGTGATGAGCTTTTTTTTCAAAGAAGGATTACACACTATAGTAATACAAAGTTCTTAAACTTGCAAGCTATTCTACCTCATGCTAATGGGGCCCACACTTCTCATGCGCCTCCGGGTACAGGGCCTTGTTAGTGCTTATGTGTGTCTCGCATCCTTAACAATTGTTATAGTGTTTGTCTCGCATCTGTTAAATACTTCCTCTGTTTGGTTTTAAGTGCAACATGCACTTGGGCACGAAATTTAAGACACCGTGTAAAGGTGATGAACTTCTCGGTTTTACCCTTTGAAATACGAAAGCAACGGCCACAAAGAAAGAAAGAAATAAGTGCTACTGTAACTAGATAAAGCTATCACGACAAGAAAAATAACTTTGGGCAACAAGTTTAATTTTTATGGGCGGCAATAATTAAATTCATTGCACAATGTTACACTAAATGACATCAATTTTTTTTGTTGCACAATAGTTATTTTTTTACCATGAATTCTAGAGTTGTGGCCTATACTATATCATGTGCCATAGTTTACGTGTTTCGATGTCCATGAAATTATTCTAGAGCTACTAATTAGCTATTGTTGCCCAAAATGTAAATGGGCCACAATTTTTAACTTTATTCGTTGCCTTTGATGTAGAATGGGCAACAAGTTTCAACCTAACTCGTTGCCTTTATTGGAAAAATAGGCAACAAAACTACAAAAGCTATTCAAAACAGATAGGCCGAAATTTTTAAAAAAGTCTGGCAGCTACTATTCGGCTAAACATCTGGAAAATCACACGAACAATCATAGAACTCTGGCTGCTGCTTCCGAGGTTTTACGCGTCACGAACGGCTTGGCACAGCAGCTGCTTCTGATACCTTTCTCCCATCCGTGCTTCGTGTTTCAGAGGATTCAAACTTCAGGTAAGTTAAACTGAAACTCTCCATTGAAATCAATCAATACTCTGTGTCTCCATGGTATCTGTGCATATCAGTCGTCTATTGACTTGCTACTATGATTCTAATTGAATCAATCAGTACTCTGTGTCTCCGTGGTATTTGTGCATATCAGTCGTCTATCGCTCGACTTCCTACTATGATTCTAATAGAACCACAATAGCTTTTGATAAATTTGTGAGTTAGTTTGATTTTAGTCAATTTTGTTCTCGATTTGTAATCGGATATGAGTAATTTGATCGGAATTTTTGGCTATTTGCTGCAATAGTATTTGATTTTCATCTATGATTTTTATGTGGTTTTTTGAATTATTGATTTTCTTAATATTCTTAATAGTCACTGATCCAAACGGTTTTACCACATGGAATGAAGCTGAAATGATGGAGTTTAACGACACTTCCAATTAGAAATAAAATATGTTGTTTGTCTTTTTGTTTGCCTTTGTTTTATGCTTTACATATAGTGTAGCAGATTCGCACCAGCTGAGTCTTAGGGTGTTAAATACATATTAGTTGCCTTGGTCCCTTTTTCTTTTTGCTCAGTTTCTAGACTCAAGTACGTACAGAACCCAACTTGGCGGTTTGGTTCTGCTTTCAAAGTATTGTGTCAATGAAATCCTTAAATTCCCTTCTATGGTATCCACTTCTTCTCTAAAAATCACATATTCACCCTTCCACTAACATTCTTCTTGCAGTTTCTGGTTTGGTATATGCTTCAATGCTGGATTAGAGTAGTGCACATATGACAAATGAACTATGAACCTCTATTCTTAATATTTTAACAGTGCATTTAATACACATCTTGATAGAATGACAGCTACACATTTTATACTTAATTAACACTAAGTTTCTGTTAAAAGTGAAGTTGTATGTTTTGATTCTAAGACTTTGATATTTTGTTCCACTAGAAACTGTGATTGCAATACAAAAGGCCGAATAGAAACCTTTTCGATATACAGATTTCTTTAACGAATAGAAACTGTTATTATTTTGTAGTTTTCTTACCCAGATATGGATCGGTCTTTATATCAAATTTAAAGTAATACTCAGAGTGAGTTAAATGAGAAAATGAAAAAAAAATCAAATTAAGAAAAATAGAATTGGTTTGCTAGTTATGACTTGCCCACAATCATAATAAAGATTTGCCCCTTGTCCCCACTGGATTCAATATATCACCTCAGTTATATGTTTTTTCATTACTTGTAAACATATATACAACCCGTTTGATAACACCAAAAGCGACTGAATTTGTTGTTTGATGAAATCAAAATCCGGGTTGAAACGGCTGAATATAAAGACTTAATCCGTTTAAATTAATCATATTTTGAATATATTTTATTAATAAACTAAAGAAAAATTTTAATTTAGTGCACTTACTAAACAGTATATCGAAAAGTTTTCTTTATTTCATACTCCATAGACGAATTATATACTACTATTAGAATTGTGACTTACTTTTCAGTAAGATAACAGTAACTTTGTTTTAGTATCTAACTTTGTTACTTTTTTTGGAAAAGTAAGTTTACCTTTTCTCTTTCCTTATTTCTTCCTTGAAGCATCCAGCCGCTTGTTTTTTTATTTCCTTTTTCTCCTTCAATTTTCTTCTTTCTCAATTTCTTATATTTGTTTTTTTTCTTCATCCTATTATTCCAACAATTTCTAATTTAGTTTTTACTTCACTTTTTCCCTGTGATTTAGCATGACTTATTCGACTAGCATGACTTATTCGACTGTTTTTCATTAGTGATGGATTTTTAAGTACATGGGCTTCAACTATTTTTTCAAGATAGTAAATGGGTTGAATTCACCCCTTTTCATACTTTTTTATTTATTTAACATCATATCTCAGTTAAAATAAGCACACATTAGCTATTACATGGAATCCAATGTAGAGCTAAGAGCATCAAATGAAGAGCTTAAAGCATCTATTTCTCAAATGAACATTGACGCAATGAAACGTGAAAAGAATCTGAGGGAAGATTTTACAAAAATGTTCCAGGAAATGAGGTATACACTACTTTCTCTTATCTATATTATCAAGCATGATAAAATTTTGATACTTTAACTCATAAAATGATACGTATAAAACTGGAATCAGAAGGAATAAGATGAAACTTAGGGAATTAGATGAAAATGAACCATGAATATTACCTGTTCAGGAAAGTACTTCCCGTTTGAACAATGAATATTGAATATTGTATACTATCATTTTTGTTTGATTTGGTGTCTCAATAAATATATTGGCAAAATCAAAAGAGGTAAAACTCGTTTCTTTATTCACTAGTTTTAAAACTAGGAGTTTGTCTCAAAGTAGTGAATATTTATAAGGCAAATAATTTCATTCTTATGAGGCTGGAGCGTTAGCTTTTGAAGGAAATAAGTGGTTCTCTAAAGATTAAGTAATGACATTAAAAACATACCCCATTTGTTGTATAGCAAACATAGTTGTGCTTTTCTATTCTCTTTCAAATCTTCCTTGTTTACCTTGCCAGAGTAGTCAAACCTGAATAGTCATGAGTGCAAGGCAATTAATTCTAATAAAACAATATGGAGTACTAGTTCCACAACTAGTGTACATATTTGAATTGCTACCATTAACTCTTCGTTACTGTCTTCTTTAGTACATTTTATTACTGATTCTTTTATTCTATATTTGGAATAGAAAGGGTTTAGTTTAAATGCCTTTCAAACTTCTACATATTGCATTTGAAGTTAAAAGCAATGTAATAAGAGTAATTATATTTGTGGGGGGATTTAAGGATAGGTGTAGAAAATGATAAGAATGAAATTATCCAAATGCCACATATTTTGTCTTTGTTTAACTATTATTTCCTTACATTTCCCTTTCTGTCTACAGGAGGGGGCGTCATGGTTTTTAGTGAAATCGTGTATACTTCCGGTGGTACTTCAAGAGATCTATATTAAGAGTCAATTGACAGATTTATATACTTGTCGAGTTCGAAGACTTTTATTATTTGTTTTTTTTTATTTGTTTTTTATATCTTAAAAAGTTGTAATTAAATGAACATGTGATGATGAGTTGAGAACTAGCAAACTTCTGCATTGTCATGTTTTGATCAGTTTCATGGATTGACTATGGAGACATGGCAGCTATATGAATTTCACAAATGTATAAAAATATTTCATTTACTATCATAATTTTGAATTTGATAAAATGTAGCATGTATATCTTGTGTATAGAGATACAATATATGGGTAACGTATATAATTCCAATGGATATTGAATTGTATAGGCAACGAAATGTAGACTTTCGTTGCACAAAAGACTCATGTGCAACAAAAAATTACAACACACAAAAATAGTATGGACTATGATTGATAATATACTGTTGCACTAAAGTCATTTGTGCAACATGGAATTGCAACACACAAAAGTAATTTGGGCTACAACTAATAAAAATTTGTTGCACAAAGTACATCTATAGGCGATGAAAGTAATTGATGCACAAACATTACTATGGGCAACAAATATTTGGTTCGACACATAAAGTATAATGGACCACGATACTTAGGCAACGACTTTGTGACGAATTTGATTTCGTTGCCTAATGAAATGGGCAACGAATTATCAACCTTTGGCAATGAAAATTTTCGTTGCCCAAAGTTATTTTTCTTGTAGTGTTATTACCGCCGAAAGTAAACAGTACCCCCTGGTGTACTACTCCATTTTGCAGTACGTATTGCCCCGGTCTACTTCCACCTTAATCCGCCTAGCCAGCTGCTCATCGGGATCTCGCCTTTGGATCTCGCCTAAACTCCGATCAGCGGAGTCCTCTCAGGCTCTCACCCGGAGTGAAGCAGCTCAACAGCCCCCTCACCAGCCGCCGCAGAAACCGACCGCCGCCTTGAAGCAACCATTACCCCGTGTCTCTCAGCTCGTGGGGAGTAACCGGAGCAAAACCAGTTTCATGTCCTTCCATGTCTTCCATTTGGACTGGCCGTATATTAAAATACAAATAAAAAAAGGAAAGAAAATGAGGGAAATTATGGGGGAAAGAAAGTTGGTGAAAAAGAGAGTCACAGATGAGGATCGGACATACACAAATGCCAAATGGAAGAGGAAGGTGGTGTAAAGAGATGGAATAGGTGCCTCGGTGGGTGGGTACCGGTGAGTAAAGAAATTAAAACGGGAGGTAGGGCGTAAATAATGAAGGGTATAAATGTCCTTTGCTTAATATTTCCTTCCCAAAATGGAAAGGTTGCATTTATTTTGAAACTGCCGAAAAAGGAAAGTGTTGCACTTATTTAAGAACGGAGGAAGTATTAAATAATAAACCAACAAATAAGATCATTGTGTACTTCTTTTATGAGATTGAGTTTTAAGGAAGTCTGTTTGAGACTGCTTTGACCCTTTTATTACCCTTCAAGCTATCCCAACCGGGTTTTGACGGAGAGGACGTGTTGAAGTGTTTGTCTCATATGGTTGAATATAAAATAATAATCTTTAGATGGAATTCAAGTCTCATTAATTTAAACTCTGCCTTATTAAAAGCTAAAGATGATAAGTAGAGTTTTAGTGCCTTCAATATTTGCGTTTTCGTGTCTCCTAGCCCACCCCACTTTTTTCTTGGTAACTCATACCTTATGCAACATATAAATGCCTTCCTTACATACTCACATTCATAATTTGTTTGTAATTGCAGCATTTCTATTTTATACTTTGGTAAGGAAGGGACCAACTGTAAATATACTCCAGTGTACACAGACATAAAACTAGTGAGAGTCCCTTTCCAGAAAGGATTGGGTCAAAAGTTTTGCCAGCCTGCGGGAAGTGGCATTCATTTGGGTTTCTTTGACATAAATGACCTATCGAGACCTCTACCTGGAGAAAATGCTTTCCCACTTGTTATATTAGCAGAGTCATGTCCGCCATCAACATCTGTGGAGGAACCTGTTCCCAATGAGCTACAGTCCAATAAATTTTTGCATGCTCAAATCACAGAGGCTGTTATAGAGAGGCACAGTGATGATAATTTTCAAGTGAAAGTAGTCAAGCAGATATTGTGGGTTGAGGGGGTTCGTTGTGAGTTGCGTGAAATTTTTGGGATTGGCAAACCAGATGAGGCAGCCATAAACGAGGACTCAGGAAAAGAATGTGTCATTTGCATGACTGAACCAAAGGATGCCGCAGTTTTGCCTTGTAGACATATGGTAAGAGTATACTCTTTTAATACTGATGTGAGTTTTCTCGCACTTAAAATAGATCGTAATATAGTGGTGTAAGTACGAGTATCGTCTCCACAGGAACGGACAAAAGGGAATCAAGAATTAATTAAATTCAGCGATGACAATAAATAAAATAAAAGCGTCGTGCGAGATCTGATTGATATGAAAATTAAACTAATGCGAATAAAATGATTAAATTAGGGGGTTCTTTCTAATTAATGACGAAGGGAACAGGGATTGATTCCGGGGTAACCAGATTTCTGGCAGATCAGGCCTAATTACATGAAATTAATTCAATTCAGCCTAGCTAATCATTACTAAGTTCTTACCGCTCTCGCGGCGTAGAGTACAATAATTTAGGGGACCAGGCTGATCTCTCATGCGACAGAATCCTAAATTATTGCTAAGACGAGCGAGCTTACGGCCCCTTAATCGCTACTAATCTCTTAACGAACGATTAAGTGTGTGAAGGTGTCCTAGAATAAACTAGATCTCTCTTAATTTATTCTACAAGCAATTGTAATTCTAGCGCGCGTTCTAGGTTACAAAAGATATCAGTTAAATTATTCAAACACAAATTAAACGGCATTCATGCAATTAATCCATCAAGAAACTAGCCATACATCATGATCAACCCCTTCATCAATCCCAATCCCTAATTAAACTACTCACAATTCATAATTGAAGAAACAATAGATGGAATAGAATTCGTTGTCATTAGTTGTCATTAATTAAAAAGATGGAACTTACAAAGTATACCAAAAGATTGATGAACAAGGCTGAAAATCCCTCTAAAATTCGTGTTAGGCACTCTCTCTAAGCTCCCCCCTTGAAAACGGGGGTTTACAGGCTGTTTAAATAGAAAAATCGGGTGAAATTTGAGCAAAATTAAGATTCCAGGGGCAACGCACGGCGTGCGTCCGGAGCATAGCCGCGTAAAAATATGGAACGCACGGCGTGCGTCCCCGAACGCACGGCCGTGCGTTGCTGGCAGTATCTTACCCCATTTGGGGCATAGGAACAGTACCAAAAATGGTGACTGCTCTTACCCCATTTGGGGCATAAGAACAGTGCCAAAAATGGCTCCTACAAAAATTCCCTAAACTTAGCAAACTAATCTTTTAGTTCCCTAAACATCAAGACTTTGTCAGAAGTATTCACGGGTAAGGAAACAGGTCATTTAGCTATGGAGCTCAATTAATTGGGTAAACAAAGAACGATCGGGCTCAAAATGGCTTCTCCTAAAGGACTTTTCAGGTGGTGGATGATTAATGGACTAATTCATTGGGTGACTAATGCCTTCATCCTTTCAACAACTAGATTATAGTGCAAGCAATTTAAGCCTAAACACTTCAAAGATGTTCTAAAAGCATAGTCAAAACGCTAGCCAGCTCACAAAGACACAGTTTAAAGAAAAAATTTCAAAAATTTTGACATGAATTATCTATGAATATACAACTAACACCTGTGCATGTTAACTCTAATAATCACATGTAACAACTTTTGCCCGAATGCCCAATTCACTCCCCCACACTTAAACTTTGGGATCGCCCTCGATGACCAAAAATGCACTATGCACAAGGGGAGTAAAGAGGATAGGGTCACGCGTGCTCAACTCAACTCAAGTCAACATTTACAAACAGTCGATTAAAAGAGTCGCAGAAACTTCCCTAAGGCGTTGGTCGGTGCAGAACTAAACTGAGTCAATGTAATCTTCGACACATCATCCCCAAAGCAAGACCCTGAGCTGCAAAAACAAAACACACAAACACAAAAACAAACCCAAAAAAAGCACCCCAGATTTTTTTTTTGTTTTTTTTCGGGGGTTTTCTGAAGGCAAACAAGCAAACAAACAAAAAAATGCAGAAATAAGCTTGAGTTGCCTCCCAAGAAGCGCTATTTTTAATGTCGTTTGCCCGACGATACCTCATAAGCTCCCAAATAGCAATGACTGTAATGGTACACTAGTAATCAACGTTTCTAGCTCCCCCTCAACAAATGCCATTAGGTGGCGCAGATCCTTAATTTCTCAAATATGCGTAGGCGGCACATGGTCTTCATAACCCTCATCAGCACAGAAGTGAAGTATGAAACTCTCATCCTCTACAGGTGGATAGGGAACATGAGTGAAAACTTTGATTACTCTAGGCATCACCGCAAGCTCAAAACATGTCTCCAAGCAAGGAGTAAGAGCAACACCGTAATCAAACTGCACCATAGAAAAGTCTTCTTCTTCCTCACAAATATCATGAACATTCACAACCTCTCCTCCAGACTCTGTATCACTCCCCATGAATGCATCTCAATTCGTTTCGTCACTCTTCTTATTAATATCCTCCAAGCAGTTGTGATCATTCTCCACACACAAAGAAATATCATCACCAAGGAATGGATCAAAGAAATCCAAATCAGAAACCACGTAAGAGTGGACCGGTGCATGTGTACAAGAAGGGAATTCTTGCTTGTGGAGCGGGACTTCTTCATTATGGACATTATCTACCTCGCCCCCACTCTCTTGGAGCATGTGATCATATTTTCCCAACTCATCTTTAGTACCCAAACCTACCTCAGTGGCTGCATCAATGTCATGACTAATCTGCTCCTTGCCATCCTCAAGTGTTGAGACTAATGGTAAATCAAACGGTTGGGGAGTTTCTGTATGAAAATCGAAGTGATCAGTGACTTCATCAGTTACAACTTGTACCGTTTGAAACTTTTTCTTGTATTCTAGGAAAAACAACTTGACACTACTATCTTCTTCTTCATCTTCGAATATAGGTGGGTCTTCAAATGCATCAGGAAGTGTATCATCCATCATATTCCCACCATCATAGTCTGACTCGCTCACGTGATCATCCCTATTGGTCTCCTCGGATTGGTCTTCTACCAGATGGCTCCTTATGGTATTTATATGCTTCATGATGTTTGAATAGCTCTGTTCCATGGCTAAAGAGCTCTCCCTCAAAGACTCTAGATATTCAGACAAAGTTTCTG